TTTATAAATTGGGCAAATATGCTCGTTCTCTAGCAACTTAGTTATAATAATAAATTGCTATCCTAATTCATTTGTATAGAGGATTTTTTTTTTTCTAGATATATAGCAATTTCGTCATTTTGAAAAAAAAAAACATAATATCATCGATTGTATTTATACATTATTGAAAACTTCTTTGTAGACGACATTGGTAGTCGCAACACAATATTGTCCATCCTCGTCTAGAGCTAACATCTTCAGGCCATCATGATGGGTGACTCGGGAGAAAGCCATGTACAATTGTCATTGATTAAAGACCAGTTTTTTTTAGCAATAACCCAACGTAAGTTAGTGTTTGGCCTTGACTTTTGTTTGGAAATTGTTTACGCTGGAACTTGAAGGACAATCTCGTATCAGAAGGAGTGAGAGACATTCGGGGGATAAGAACTTTGGTTCCTTCATGTGTCCCATTAACTATTTTTGCTTCGACAATGTGATCTACCAATGTTGTGATGATGAGCCGCGTCCCGTTACAAAGGCCAAGAGAGTAGTGACAGAATAATATTGTTGAATAGGAATAGGAATAGGAATTTTAATATTGGTGTAGTGTATTACGAATATGAATTTTAATGTAGAATTGTAGTACTAATATGAAAGTAGGAAATTAAACAATATATTGTATTAGGAATTATATTACACTATTTTACAATATTACGCAAACCTAAGTATTATTGTTTATAACTAATATTTTCACCCATGCGATACACGGAATGGAATTGTTGTAATATATTAAGAATATTTAAATTGATATATAATTATTTAAAAGTTAATATCACGAGAGGTCGCTTATCTTTCATGACAATTTCAAATTTAATCCTAGACAATAGTTATTAATTATTACGATTTATTCTATGTTATAATTCTTACATTAATATTCTTATTGTACGAATGAGAAAGTAGAAATAAGTATATTTTATTGGGAAGAGAGATTTTTTAGGAATTGGACGGAAAGTTAAAAGTTTAGGATTTTGTTTTTAAATATAGTATAGATTACAATAGGAATTGTATTACACTATTTTATAATTTTAGAATAAAATTTTAACCCAGAATTATTGTACGAATAGAAAAGTAGAAATCAATATATTTTATTGGGAAGAGAAATTTTTTTGGAATTGGGCAGAATTTAAAAGTTCAGGATTTTGTTTTTATATATAGTATAGATTACAATAGGAATTGTATTACACGATTTTATAATATTAGAATAGAATTTTAACCCATAATTAATGGGAAAGTTGAAATCAATATATTTTATTAGAAGAGAGATTTTTTAGAAATTTGGCGGGAAGTTAAAAGTTCAGGATTTTGTTTTTATATATAGTATAGAAGTATAGATTATTAACACTTAATTACTTTTAGATATTATTTTTACCACTTATATTATTATTATTATTATTATTATTATTATTATTATTATTATTATATTATGATTATTAGTTTCTTTTCAAGTTTTGTTAGTATATAATGGTCGTGAGCCACACAATAATAATATAACCATAATTAAATATTCTTGTATTGTATTCCGTGAGTCACAATAATAATATAACAATAATTAAATATTCTTCAATTCTAATATTCTTCTAAGATTTCTATTAACATCATTAATTATTCCCTAATTTATCATAATTAAATAATTTGACCAATTATAAAGAGAGATTATTAAATAAAGCACGGAACAATTTTTTAATTACAAAATTTAAAAATTCATTAATAAAACATAAGGTTCTCATAGTTTTTTCTTAGAAACTATTTAATAAAGCATTTTTTTTAGAAATCAATATATTTTATTGGGAAGAGAGATTTTGTAGGAATTGGGCGGGAAGTTAAAATTTCAAGATTTTATTTTTATATATAGTATAGATTAGATGTGCAGAGGGAATTGTATTACACTATTTTATAATTTTAGAATAGAATTTTTACCCAGAATTATTGTACGAATGGGAAAGTAGAAAACAATATATTTTATTGGGAAGAGAGATTTTTTAAGAATTGGGCGGGAAGTTAAAATTTCAGAATTTTGTTTTTATATATAGTATAGATTATCTAAACTATTTTATTGCCTAATTATTAATTTTTTAAATTTATTTTTAATTAAACATTTTTATATAAATTTTCAAAAAAAAAAAAAAAAAAAAACATTTTTATATAAATTTTGGCGAACTAGCTCACCATGTCCGGTGTGCAGCCGACATTATTTAATTATTTTGACTAGAGTCGGACATGTCTATACCTACCATATAATAGGTAACATACTCACATGGCCATTATCAATCCCGCTTTGACGGCATTATACAATCTAGTGAATCTACCGGTTGTTACACTATAGTGTACCATGATCCATGTGGGTCATAATCATTGAATAAAAGTATAGTAAAATTAAAATGTTACTTTAGTATTACTATATAATGAAATAGTGTGTATGAAAAATAAAAATAAAAAACACGACACATTATTATCAAATGAAATTGTGATATAATTAAAATAATACTTTTAGTATTGCAATAATGAAATTAGTGTGCGTGAAAAATAAAAATAAAATTCAGAGTCATATAATTACATATATTGTCAAATGACCTGAAGTGCAATTTAAATAATACTTCTTACTGTAATTAAACTAGTGTGTAAGAAAAATAAAACAAAAAATAGAGCTCAAGCAATAATGTATATTATCAAATGAAACTATAGTAGAATTAAAATGATACTTTAGTGTCAAGCAGCTTGTGCACAGATGGCATGTAGTGACTCTCCCATATGGGAGATTATGAGATCGAGCTTCAGTGGATGCGATGTTGATTTTTTGTGCTTCAACAGAACAGATATTACAATGTAATAGAGTCAGTAGCTTTAAAAAAAAATGATACTTCAGTACTATTATAATGAAACTAGTGTGGAAGGAAAATAAAACTAAAAAATAACATCAAATGAAATATGGAATTAAAATGATACGGAGTACATACTTTATGATCCACGCTGCTACATAGCTCATTGTCCACATTAAAATAAAAAAAAAAAATGATACTTCAGTACTACTATAATGAAACTAGTGTGGAAGGAAAATAAAACTAAAAAATAACATCAAATGAAATATGGAATTAAAATGATACGGAGTACATACTTTATGATCCACGCTGCTACATAGCTCATTGTCCACATTAAAATAAAAATAGATGACAACTACCATATAGTGTGATAGCATTCTGGTTACCATTTTAAATAGGTGTGGTAGGGGCTTAAATTCTTTGGACTGGAAATATTAAAAAAAAAAAAAGTATTGAACAAATATCACCAAGACTATGTGGTCTAATGGTACCCGGGTTGGACTTTCATCTCGAAGGTTGTAAGTTTGAGCCTTAGGTTCTTTCTGTTTCAGTAGGTTGAGAAAGTATGTAATCATTAGTACTTACACAAAGTATATGAACAGAGACATTGTAATAGAGCCAGTAGCATTCAAAAAAATATCGCCTAAAAAAATTGTAACAGTATTTTAATTCAAATTATGCACAAAAAAATGTTATTGCCAGGAATCGAACCTGAATTTTTTTCTTTTAAGTGAGACGCGCGTTTTTAATCAAAACGACATCGTTTTTGCAACCATGTACACCATACATGGTGCACACGGTTGCACTTCCACTTTCAATTTTTAATGTTTGGCCGGTAGGCCCAATCATTATTTTTTAAGAATAATATTCAATATATAAATATATTTTGTTCGAACTATATTTTGAAAAAATAAAGACAAACATATAGTTGTTACACCGTCTTAGGTTTCACACGGCACACAAGTAGCTTATTGAATTCTGAGATCACATGCATGCGTGTAAACAATATACAGAGTAATACCTACTGGGATTCAACTTTTGAAAAAAGTGTCAAATTCACTCCCTAAGTTAAATGCATAGTGTAATTGAGTTTTTTAAGTGAAAAAAGTTATATTTAAATCTCTTAAATTGATAAAATTAATTAATTAAGTCTAATTTGACTTGTTTATTATGTTAAATCGATGCGGTGTTAACACACTTTTTTTTTTTTAAACAAAATATTTTTTATTAAAAATTAAAAATATTACTTATTATATATAAATTAATTTATTTATTAAATAAAACAGTCACCGGCCGTCCACGCTAGACAGCCGATGACTATCTTCTTCACGGATAGTCGTGGCTGTCCGGCAGGACGACCATAGCCATTTAAGGAAGACAATCATGGCCTTCTTCTAGATCTGGAACGAGGGCTACGACCATAGCCGCCTCCCTCGTTCCAGACGGAGGGCACTCAAACGAGGGCGGTGGCCAAAGCCGTAGCCCTTGTTCCAGATCTAGAAGAAGGCCATGGCCGTCTTCCTTCGTCGGCCATGGCCGTCTCCCTTAGACGGTCGTGGCCTTACTGTCGGGCAACCGGTTTGTTCTTTTTAAAAAAAAAAATTAATTTATTTATTTATAATAAATAATATTTCAATTTTTAATAAATAAAAAATATTTGTTTTAAAAAATAAAATAAAAATGACATGTGTCAACACCACATCGATTTAACTTGATAAACAAGTCAAATTGAACTTAATTGAACAGTTTTACTGGTTTAAGAAATTTAAATGAATTTTTTTTCACTTAGGGAACCCAATTACATTATTCATTTGACTTAAGTGACCAATTTGACACTTTTTCCAACCCAACTGTCATGACGGCATCATTTGATGACATATCCATGAACCACGTTTCCCGCACGTCATGTAATGATGTTTTTGATCAAACCTAGTAAGTAGTAATTATGTCATAATTAAATAATATCTAACTACTTTTTAAAATGTTTAGTAAATTATCTATTACAACAACCTCGTTCAACTGCGGACCAATGGCATACCAAAAACAAAAACAAAAATGAAAAAAAAAAAATAATAATAATAATAATAATAAAATGTGAGGACCAGCCAGCCAGCCAGCCATTGCCACCATCTATAAATGGGAGTGAAATGTTGGCAACCTAAACAAGCCAACTAAGGATATATACATATATCATCTACACATATATTCACTCACATACAAAAATTAAACTCAGAAAGATGAGAGTTGTTGAAGTTCTTCATATGAATGGAGGAATTGGTGACACAAGCTATGCCAATAACTCCCTCCTTCAGGTATAATCTCTCTCGGTGCGTATACATGTCTATACATGTGTCATGATAAAACGTATTTAAGATTATATAATTTATTTTAAATTATATATTGATAACAATTTTTGTTGTGTTCGATAGGTAAATATATAAACTCTTCTTTCCATGCTATTCTCATGACGTACAAAAATAATAATAATAAATTACGAACACGTAGTACAAATTTTACTCCTTTAAAATACATGTATCATTCTCTTTTAAAAAATGACTAACCAACCTATGTCCGTCACTTTTTCATTGATTCTTTATTATAAAATAAAGGGGAAACGACACTTCTGACATCTGAATTGTTTCACTTTTAGAAATTTAGTCCTTGTAAGTTAATTTAATTCAGTTTATAATCTTTTACTTTTAGTCCCTAATGTTATATAATTGTCCAACTTCATTAACATATATATGAAGTTATTTTTATCATTTAGAATCAATAAAAATCACAGTTAAAAATGACGTTTACATGGAGAGCGTAAAATTTTAACCATAGATATTGATTTTAAATGATAAAAATAACTTCATAAAAAAGTGTTTGCTAATAGAATTTGATAATTATATAACATCATGGACCAAAAGTGCAACATAATGAACAATTAATAGATTCTTTTTTTGGTACTATTGACTCTGTTACAAATATAGTATCTGTTCATAACTACTTTCTCAACCTACTGAAGCACAAAGAAAGAGAATCACTTCGTGCATTAGATCACAAGGTCATTGACAGAGATTAAATATATTTAAATTAATTAATATTCATGGGTATGTTGTTTTCCTAAAATAAAGAACTATTGGGATACACTATTGAAATATCTCAGCTTTAATGCATGCAAAATTTGATAGAATAAATTATTACAATTCAAGAAAAATTCTTGGGTCAACTTAGTTTATGATTTATGATATTCTTTCAATAAGCTAAGGCTGAACTCTAACTTTAAGGGCCCCCACACCTCAGCCCGACAGAGCATTTGGGAGGATGTAAATCATGGTGACTCAAGTGAACATGAACCACAGAGACTTAGACCAGTGCTCACTATGATTTATGATATTACCAATACGCGTTACTGATTTAGAGTCTATCCATGCATTTTTGTTTTTATTATAGTTAAATTTTAGCCACGTGTATGGTTGTTTAACATTAAAAAAAAATATTTTAAAATGAATTGAGGGGACCATTAATGAAATAATCAATCAATTCTGACATATATATTATTATGTGAGTTAATACCCAAAATCGTCCTCGACTATAGTGGTTTTTCTCAATTTCGTCCTAAACGATTTTGGTGACCTAATATCGTCCCAGACTTTTGTGTTTCGCTCAATTTAGTCCCAGATTTTTGTGTTTTTGCTCAATTTAATCCCTCATTTGTTATTCTGTCCATTTAGTGTTAAATAAATAGACAATTCAGTAATTTTAATATTGGCATCTCTTTACTCATAGACATGTGAACTGCGAAATCCCTTTTTTTTTACGAATTACTCCCAGAATTACTCCTAAAACTGCGAATATAAAATTTGATTTGCAGGTCCGGGAGTAATTTTGGGTGTAATTCGTACAAGAAAGAGGAATTTCGCACTTCACAAGTTGAAAGTAAAGAGTCATCAATATTGACATTACTGAATTATCCCTTAATTTAACACCAATTTTACGGAATAACAAATGGAGGACTAAATTGAGCGAAACACAAAAGTCTGGGACGATATTAGGTCACCAAAGTCGTTTAGGACGAAATTGAGAAAAAAACACTATAGTCAAGGACGATTTTGGGTATTAACTCATTTATTATGTGAAGGCAAATTTTAGAATAATACTACATTTACTCCCACTTCTACTCCATTTTATAGTCCTTACTAAAATATCATTATTTGATTGGTTTAAATAACAAAGTGGGTCACAATTTTTCTTCATTCACTTAAATTTTTTGGTACACGTGACAGGAGTTTATACTCCATGAAAGTACATATATCATTTTTTTTTTTTAATTTTATAAAATACTTCCTTCTAATCGGATTGCAAGACACAAATTAGTCACTTTATTAAGTGGTATATGCATATCAGTGGCCGCCTGACGAGTTTAATCATTGATAGACAAATTTGTTACTTTGATAAAAATTGACGATTATATCTATATTGAAAAACTAAATTTACATTTTAGTCATAACTAAGAAATTATAACTAACTATCATGTAGTGTGATGATATTTCGGTTGCCATTTCAAATGAGTGATCATAGATTCGGATTCTAGTGGGGCTTAGAGTTTTTAGGCTGAAAATATTTGAGAAAGTATCGGGACAGATACTACTCTAAA